GATCATGTGGTTGTTGCTGCAGTCTGGACATGATCTTCGGCCACGCTCGTCGAATCCGTTGTCGTACTTCGTGGGGTGCTGTCCACATATCAAACCATGCTGTAAATTGTGCTCCAATAGTAGATACCTCTGGATCCGATCCTTCGACTGCGATGACGGTTGTCAGGCATATGCCTGGCCAAGCCCGTCGTAGTGCTCGTGCGTAGTGCCGTCGTGTCTGCAGTCTCTCGTTGGGCGATGCTCCGTACGCCTTGGCTCCGTACAGCAGGGGTGCCATGGCTCCTTGGGCCAGCACTCCTCTCACTCTGCTTCGTCTGGCCCTTCTGAAACGGGTGCGGGCCAGGTTCATTCTCGCCCAAACTTTCTTTTTGCGTGCATGGTGCGTCCGTCGTAGTGCGCAAGCACGGCTGCCCCTGTCGATGCCGAGGTCGCGCCATTCAGTGCTGCCGTCGATGTGGATGTTGAGGTCTGCAAGTCGTTTGATGATATCCTTGGTGTCCTTCATGTGCGTCGTGATAATGACTGACTTTGCTGCGACCTCAAGTCCTTGCTGATGCAGTGCTTCGTGGAGTGTCTTGGTCGAGTCGACGGTGCCCCGCGCCAGGGTATCCTTGGAACCGTGCAGCTGGACACCGATGTCGTCGAACCATGTTCTCGGCTGTGTCTTCGTGATTTTGCCGCTGTGCTGTCTTAGGACGACGTAGATCAATGCTCTCGCGAGGTTGTTCGAGTGTCTGGCCCCTGCCAAAATGGAGCGGCTCGCGTAGATCGGTTCGCTGTAGCAGCCGTTGAGGCGTAGGAATCGTGCCGAGAGGTGCATCTGCATGGAGAGCGCGAGGATCCTGCTGGGGAATCCGAATTGGTGTGCGGCCATGGCGATCTTGGAGAAGCTGAGCGAGTCGTAGAACCTCTTGATGTCGAGGAGCGCCGTCGCTGCCCGAATGTTGTAGATGCCTGCGATTTCGTCTCCTAATGCTCGTAGCATGGCCTCTCGCAAGCAGCTGTTGCCCGCGACCGCTGCATCACATGGCTCCTCGATCTCTTTAGCCCATAGTCGTATCCTGCCCCGATGCATAAGCTCCCAGGTACGGCAGATCCAAGGTAGTAGCGCCAGTGCTCGGTCGCCCCCGTCAGCGAGGGCGCTTGCTCCTTTGGCTGTGGAAGGCTTGGGCTGGATCATGACAATGGACTGGAGAGCTTGCCATGGCCATGTCACGTCTCGCTCGATGGTGTTCAGTAGCTGGACTACCTCGTCTCTGCCTGCTGCTGGTAGTCGTCGAGCGTCGCTAGTGTTGAGTCGGTCCGTGCCTCGTCCCTTGTCGGGTATGCCTACGATGGCCTCGTCGAATTGTGCCCTGCTCCATGCCGTGGTTGGGGTCGCCGTGGCTTGTTCACGTAGGTCTTTGAGCAGCTGGATGTGAGTGATGTGGTCGCCGCGGGCGTCGCTCCAGATGTTGCTGGACGTCGTATGCTTGAGGTCTGTGCGCTCAATTGTGGAGGTCGCTGTCACGGTGCCCTCGATCATCTCGTCTTCATGTCGCATGCTGGGTTTGGTCATCTTGTGCATGGTGCCTTTGTCGCAGCTGTTGACTAGCAAAGTCGTGTAGCCGCGTGCGTTGCATCTCAAGTCCCGCTTGATCGCATGGATTGCTTCTTGTGCTGCTTGAGTAGCCATGCCCTCGATGGTGTCGGTAGCTACGCCCTGGATGTTGATGAGTCGGTCTCTCCAAAGTGTTCGGTGCAATCTTGCGGTGCTGGATGCTTCGGCACCTGCAGATGGTACGCCGTCAAGCGCAAGGTGTCGACAACAAGCTTCCAGGGCGTGTACTTCATCGTGTCCGACTCCTTTTTTTCTTAGACGGTGCAGCGCCGTGAGGGTGGATTCTGCTCGAGCCCACCAGTTGGCCGTGTATGTAGCATATCTTGGCCGTCGTAACCCACGTTCCTTTTGTATGTGTTGTTTGAGCTGGTAAGGCTGTCCCCTCCCCCTGTAGCGCTTCTGCTCGCTCTCGTGGATGCTGTATGCCTTGCAATAGAAGCTCTCCATGTGCCGCATGAGCGTGTGGAAGGTGTGACTGGTTTCGTGGTGTGCATCATGGATTGCCTGGTAAGCTGCGCTGTCCGTGATGTATGTAGGTGCAGTGGTCGAGGTAGAAATGTTGTCGTTCCCGATCCCGTCCCAGAGCTCATGCATGGTTCTGGCGTCGATGTCGGGCAATTGTGTCGGTTGTTGCTTCTGCTCGTCCTTCTGCTCGTCCATCTTGTTCTCGGAGTAATGTTCGGGCTCGCTGTCGTTGTCGTGCTCTGCTTCGATGGGTATGTCTTCGGCTCTCCCCTGATCTTGTGGCGGGCCTTCTCCGTCCATGTCGTCGCCCAGGGGGTCGGCGTTAGCTTCCTCGAAGTCCATGGGGTCGAAGTCCTCGTCCATGGTTGATCTGGTTCTCGTGCCTGCAACTGTCGTCGCTGTCGTGCTTGGATGTCTTGCCCAGCCATTCGGCGACAGCGCCTCCCATCTTTGGTTCATGAAATCGTCATCGTCGCGATAGCTGTCTTGTGTGTTGTTGTTCTCGAAGCTGCTGCTGCCTTGCGTGCTGGTACGCGACTTCTTCTCATGCTCTGCTCGCTGCCGTTGTCGCTTGCTCTGGGGGTCTGGTGGTTGTTGTGGTAGTCGCGGGTGTCGAAATGGGTGCGGCATGGTCAGCTGCCGAGTGAGATTCATCGTGGCCTCCCCCTTCAGCGCGATGACCTGGCCGATGTGTGGCCCCCATGGGACGTCGCTGACTGGTCTCAATGAGTGCATGTGTTGTCGTGCCGAGGGGCTGACCACCAAGTAGTCAATGGGCGATTCCTAAGTAATCTGTGAAGGAGTCCTAAGCGTGAGCGCGACTCCTGGGCGCCTGGGTGTCGGGAGCGCGGCGCTGGAGTAAATTGCAAGAAATTCCAACGCAAGGGCGCTATTCTTCAGCAAATTGCAAGCAAGTCTCCAGCGAGAGCGCGACTCCAGAGCGCAGGAGGAGCGATTCCTGAATAAATCGCAAGGAAGTCCCAAGCGAGAGCGCGATTCTTGAATAAAATGCGAGGAGGTCTCGGGCGGGAGCGGGGGTCCTGGCTAAATTGTGAAGAAGTCTCAAGCGGGAGCCGTTGTTGTTGTAACCAGGGGGCCACTTTGAGCAGCAAGAGTTTCTTTCACAAAAAACAAAGCGCGAGCCCTGGGGGGGGGGCACTTCAATTGAAAAAATCAATGTGCACCGGTAGGGGGGATCAACAATAATTTTTCTTCAAGAATGAAAGTTCAACAACAACAACAATACCACCACCAACAACAACCACCACAACAATAACAACATCAACAACCACAACAACAACAACAACACCAACAACAGCAACAACAGCAACACTAACAATAACAACAACAACAACACCAGCAACAACAACACCAATAACAGCAACATAGACAACACCAGCAACAGCAACAACAATAACAACAACAACAACACCAACAACCACGACAACCACAACAACCACAACAACCACAACAACCACAACACCACCACCACCAACAACAACAACAATAACAACAACACCAACACCAACACCAACAACAACAACAATTACTAGCACGTGGGGACACTCCGTTCTCACCAGTGCCAGGGTTTTCATAGGAGGCGGGCAATACCCCCACTTTGTGGGGGGGCCGGTTCAAGCTCTACCAAATTTCCAAACGACTCTTCGCCACCACCCACACCCAGCTTCCCGCCCTATGACGTTCGGACACTTCACTTCGTGGCATGCGGACGACCGTGGCTACTATTCAGGGCCCCGCGGCCGACGACGACGGCGTGCGCGCGCGAAGAAAAAACGAATGTGTCCCGCATGGTATTATTTGACAGGGATGATGGCCCTGGCAGGTGCGCAACCGTTGTTGCAGAAGTTCGAAAAAGTTGCTCGCAAAAGCCCGTTTGACAGAAATGTTTAAAAAGTGTTGGGTTTCCTACGAATCCGCAAGAGCGCGCGGGATGAAATTTTGACATTTTTTTTTGAAAAACCATTGGTTTTTTGATGTTTTTATGTTAAAATCGCTACGAAAACTAAGGTTTTGGAAGGATTTCGTCTTGCGCGCGCGAATGTCCACTTTACCTTATTTTTTGCAAGGGATTCTTGAAGTTTGGTTATGTTAGAACAAGAAATGTCATTTTATATTGTTTTTTGCAAGGGAAAGCGGGGGGGAACAAAACAACCGGATCTGGATCACATCGTTTTGCCTGATACTTCCTCACGAAAATGATGAAAATGTGGCTGCGGCCTAGGCGCGGCGGGGGGGGCGTGCACCAGGGGCCCCAACAATAATTATTCTTTAGAAGAAATAATGTTCAGCAACAACAACAACAACACCAACAACAACAGCAACAACACCAGCAGCAACAACAACACCAACACCACCACCACCAACAACAACAACAACCACAACAGCAACAACAACAACAACAACAGCAACAACAACAACAACAACAGCAACAACAACAACAAATAGGCGAAGGCAGGCGGCCAGTGCCAGGCAGATGAACACGGGTGCCACCACGACGAGCTCGGCGGCGGCAGCTGCGGGTGGGCGGGCAACCCTGCCCTGCGAAGAAGTGGAGGAGATGGAGGGGGAGGGGGTCTGGGAGAGGGGGAGGAGGAGGAGGAGGAGGAGGAGGAGGAGGAGGAGGAGGAGGAGGAGGAGGAGGAGGAGCGGGAGGAGGAGGAGGAAGAGGAAGAGGCGAACGATAAGATAGGAACGGCGCCGAAGAGGTCCAAGCTTGCCCCGCCGTGATGACCCAGACAGTGGGCGTCGCGTAATGAGGAGCGACACCTGGGGGAGAAGAAAGGCGCACTTCTCGGGCCCAAAGGGCTTCCTTTTCGGCCCTACTGGGCCCGTGTAGGGGCCCTGCAAGGCCCCTTTTCTGCAGCCCTCGCCCCCCACCCGCCCCCCATTTATCGCCCCCCCCTCCCCCCCCCTCCCTTTCGCGACGCCCAAAGACAAGCAGCTCAGTCCTCTCCGTCCTCTTCCTCCTCGGCTCTGCTGGCGACCACCCGCCCAAGCAGCTGCGGGAGGGCGGCGGACGCGGACCCGTACTCGGCCAAGGCGGCCAGAGAGAACGCGGTGAGCAGGCAGGCTGGTGGGATTACCAGGATTGCGGTCGGACCCGGGACATAACAACACCCTTCAAGAACATGAGGCCCTCCGCTGGCCAAAACTGAAAAACTCTCGAGGGCGCTCTCCCCGGAGGATGCAAAAGAACATCCAACAAGCACGAAGAACATTATGGTACCTCCCCGCGCCGACCTCGATCTTACACCTCGGCCCGGCCGGACCGCCATCACAAGAATGATGTAATATAGCATGCCGTCCCCTGAACTCGACGAGAACCGCGGCGACGAAGAACAGGAGCCACACCCGTGGAGCCAGCCGAGAGGCTTGAGGAACACGACGGAAACAACGTGGTACCGCCAAACGAGTCCCTCCTCCACCAATGAAGAGGAGGCAGAGAATGGGGTGTGTGGGTGGGGAGAGCGGGGCCGGTCACGGCTGTCATCGCCGCTACCAGCCTTGCCTGGGCGACGCCACGGCGAGGCTGAGGCTCTGGGCCTCTGGCCGCGAGATTTAGGCCAGGCTTGGCCACAAGGGCGGAGCGCGGAGGAAGAGGAGCGAGGAGGAGGAGAAGCAGGAGGAGAAGGAGGAGGATGAGGAGAAGGAGGAGGAGGAGGAGGATAAGGAGAATGAGGAAGAGGAGGATGATGATGATGATGATGAGGAGAAGAAGAAGAAGAAGAAGAAAAAGAAGAAGAATAATAAGAATAATAATAATAATGATAATAAGAAGAAGAAGAAGAAGACGAATAAGAAGAATAAGAAGAATAAGAAGAAGAAGAATAATAAGAAGAAGAAAAAGAAGAAGATGAATAATAAGAATAATAAGAAGAATAACCAGAATAATAATAAGAAGAAGAAGAATAAGAAGAATAAGAATAATAATAATAAGAAGAAGAATAATATTAAGAAGAAGAAGAAGCAGAAGAAGAAGAAGCATAATAAGAAGAAGAAGAATAATAAGAAGAAGAATAATAATAATAAGAAGAAGAATAAGAAGAGCAACGCCGAAGCGAACGAGTCTCAAGACGGAACAGGGGAGCCAGCAGGTGGCGAGGACGTTTAGGCCCACTGGCTTCTGCCACGGCAGTGGTTGGGCTGCTGCGGGCTGGACCTTGCCACCGAGTCCAGTTGGGTCTTCCGCCCGCGTATGCCCGCGTCCTGCTCACCGTTCTGTCCTTGCGAGATGGTGGCCTGCGCCGACGCCAACCACTTCACAAGTCTAGGCGTTTTAAAAATCCACCTGGATTTGAAATCATAGAACTACTAAAATACATATATCTATATATATACACCTTTATATGGAAACCGCAACTTCTCGGAGGCCCGCGCAGATACTCCGCGCGAAGCTCCGAGAAAGTATGTTTATGCAGCTTCTCGGTTCTTCGAGCTCGTGATGGTAATCCCACCAGCCCTCTGGGCTCAAGAAGGCCTCGGTGAGATGGCCAACATCACTGGGCCCATGTTGGCCTCCTGGGATGGGGCATTCATTGAACCGCCCCCTTTTTCGGTCGAACTCCTTAAAGACCCAAGATAGCCCCCAAGGCTCCCAAGAAGTGCCCCAAGAGGGCCCAAGGAGAAGCCCAGGAGGCCACCAGAGGCCTCCAAGAGCCTCTCCAAGAGACTCTCAAGAGACCTCCGAGAGGCCTCAAGAGGCTCCCCCGAGGCACCCAAGACGCTCCAATCGGCCCAGAGACCGCGAAGAGACACGCTAGACGCCCCAAGAAACTCCAAGAAGCTCTCGAGACGTCCGAAGCGATTCCGAGAGGTATCCTAAAGGCCGCTGACCTTTCTGCTCGCCTTCCTACTCCTTCTCCTCCTCCTCCTCCTCCTCCTCCTCGTTCTCCTCCTTCTCCGCCTCCTCCGCCACCTCCTTCTCCTCCTTCTCGTCCTTTTCCTTCTCCTCCTCTGCCACCTCCTCCTCCTCCTTTTTCCTTTTCCTCTTCCTCCTCCTCCTCCTCCTCCTCCTCCTCCTCCTCCTCCCACCCCCTCCCCCATGTTTCTCTTTCCGCATGGCAGGCCACGCTGGTTCGCCCGGCGCCCCCACCCACGACTGGCCCACACTGCCTGGGGTTCTTTAAAATATCGCTGGTGCGTCCCCCTCCTTCCCCTCCTCCTCCGATTACTCCTCCATTCTCCCCCTCTTGGGGTATGACGGCTTCCTCAATCCTCTATTCCACTAGATGCTTCTCCACATCCCTGATCAAGGCAACTCGCCTGGGCATCGTTTCTGGATGTGCTGGTGGGGTTACTTTTTTGGTTCGCGGCTCCAAGGCAAATGTCAGGGAGCGGAAGCAGCGTCCGGGATGCGGCACGGAGCGAATTTGCGAACACAGCCGCCACTGTCGGCAGCCGCTCGCACCTGCAAGACACGCTCGCAGTTGCACATGCACAGAACAAAATGAACTCAATTCGCATGCAAACGCACACAGGCGCAGCAGCGAAACCGGAGGAGACGAGCTGCAAGTGCGAAGACAGCAGAGTGAGTCGCCAGTGCGGCGCCAGACTCAAGCTGACAGTGCGAAAGCGAGAGCGAGCGACCAGCACACAGAAGCGCTACCATGTAGACAATAGTGAGGCAAAAAGGGGCTCTGGTGGGGTTACGCGAAGCGTCTAGATTCACGCTTCGCGCATCCCCACCAGCCCACCCTGGAAAGATGCCTGGGGGAGCTGCCCTTCCCGGGGGAGCGCGGCATCATCTGGATACGGTGAGCCAGAGGCCTCTTGGATGCCTCTCGGCGTCGCTCGTGGTGTCTCCTCGGGGGGCTCTTCGTGGCCTCCTGGGGCACCCTGGGGGCCTCTTGGGGGCTCTCGGGGGCCTCTCGGGGCGTGTTGGGGGCCTCTATGAGGCCTCTTGGGGGGCGCCTTGGAGGCCCTCTTGCGGCCATCTTGGAGGACATCGATCGAAAAAGGGGAGGGAGGCTGAACAGCACTGCCCCTGTGGAGCCCCTCGAATCGACAGCGCCCTCTTTGCGCGTGCTGTATAGTTTGGTCTATAGCTTTCTGCAAAAAAGATGGTGTGGGGGGTGTTGACATTGCACGCAGCAGGCAACATGCTGGCACCCCTGCCGCCCCTGTCAAAAACCAATGAAAAATGATCGCGGGGCGCCCGTGCATGATCCTGATTTCGGAGCAACATACACTATGTATTATCTTTTGCGCGGGAGGTGTGTCGCCAGTCGGGCAGGGGAAGGGGGCATTTACTAATAAGGGGCAATGATAAGCCTCTCCCTGGAGAGGAAGCATGGGGTTTGGGAGAGGAAACGCTCCAGAACCACTCACGCGATGAAGAGCTGGTGGGATTTACCGCATCCGCATGCTTGCGGCGCAGCCTGACCCCTGCCAGTTGTTCGCCTTTGTACACCTACTCCCCTCGCGCCGACAAGGCTGGTGCGTCGCGGACGTGAAGCGCACCGGTGGAGCCTGGGGCGACTGGCCGAGACGACTCCCGGGATTCCCACACGAGCTGCTCGCCAGCGCCTGAGCGAGTTCATGAGCATGCCCATTGAGCCCAAGTTGCTATGGGATGAGGCGGAGGGGCAGGAGGAGGAGGAGGAGGAGGAGGAGAAGGAGGAGGGGGAGGAGGTGGGGGGAGGAGGAGGCGGAGGAGGACAAACCAAGACCAACGCTGGGGACAGCAAGTCAGGCAGAGAGAAACAAAACTGGGGGGCCTCAAAACGGCCAGTCACAAGTCCCTGCGTGGCGGAGGAGGAGGAGGGCGAGGACGAGTGGGAAGATGAGGAGGCGGACGACGATGATGAAGAAGCACAAGTTCGGGGGTTGCTGAAGGTGTCCCTGGTCCAAGGTGCCCCCCGCTTTCCGCTCCATTTGGGAACCCTTTGGGCACCCTGGGCCTCGTAAGGGGTGCTCTGGAGGCCGTGGGGGCCGCCTTGGAAATCCTGGGGGCACCTTGGGCCAGGGGCACTTCTGGCAACACCCGATACGTAGATGCAAGGGGGAAGGCGGGAAGCGGGAGGGCAAGGCCGGAGAAGGAGAGGGGCAGGGGAAGGATGCTGAGGAGGAGGGTGTGGGCTGCGCACGCCTTTGAGCGCCCAGGCACCTGGCGCGGTCGGAGTGGACCGGCACTGCACCAACGTGAAGCTCGTCGCAGCCGGCAGGGCGTCCTCTGGAGGGGATCAGGCGGCGGAGGATGACCGGCGAGAAGGCCACGGATTCTGCGGAAACGCAAATGTGCCTCCCATGTCATCCTGTTCTCTCTCTCTCTCTCGCGAACTGACGCTAATCGACGCTAAATCGGCGCTTTCCCATCGATCACCAGACGCTTGCGCACGCTAGTGCGCTCTAGCGACAACATTTCGATGACATACAAAGCTCCCATGAGTTGATACCGAACAGGGAGGAACAGGTGGACGAGGACAAGGATGAAGAGGTGGACGAGGACGAGGAGAAGGTTTAGGCAGTGATTCAGGACGGTCTTCTGACGAGCCTTGGCCGCGCACGCGCAGGAGCCTTGGTAAGCAATGCCTGGTGGTCGGACGCGGCGGCAGCTCTTTTCCGCCTCGCGCGTCCTTCCCCTCCTCTCCCCCGCAACCCTGCTCGCCCCTCCCCGCTCTTCAGTGCCTCCTGATCCCTCCAAGCCCCCTTGCTACTGGCTGGGCGTTCACACTGTTTTCCGCCCATCCCCTTTCTTGCTCGGCCTTCGTGAAGCTCCTGAGGGGCCGCCACAGGACGGCCCCGAGGCCCCCAAGAGACCCTCCAGGATGAGTCCAGGATGCCCGCAAACAGGCCCCACAAGAGGACCTAGGCCTGCAAGAGACCTACAAGTACCTCCGAGAGACTTCCAACAACAGTCGTGGCACTGGTTTATGGACGGGCTGGTTGGACCATATCCTGTCCGTGGCACACATTCGGGTCACGGTACTGAATCATTGCTACCGTCGTCCGAATCAGGCTAATAATGAACATAATCATCGTCGCGGTCACCACCAGCATTATCATAACCACCATGGTCGCCATCATCATCATCATCATCATCATCATCATCATCATCATCATCATCATCATCATCATCATCATCATCAGCATCAGCATCATCATCATTATCATCATTATCATCATTATCATCATCACCATCATTACCATCATCATCATCGGCATCATCATCAGCATCATCATCGTCGTCATCATCAGCATCTTCATGATCAGCATCATCATCAACATCATCATCGCCATTGCTATCGCCATCACTCCCACCAAACTCATCATCGACATTATCACCGCCATCACCACCATCACAATCACCATCACCATCACCATCACCATCATCATCATCATCATCATCATGATCATGACCATGATCAAAATAATCATTGTCATCAGCATCATCAGCATCATCATCATGATCACAACCATCACCCTCATCGAAACCAGCATCAGTATGGTAAACAGCATCAGCATCCTCGGCATCCCCGTCAGCAACACCATCATCACCATCAGCATCGTAGTCAGCACCATGAGCATCATTATCAGCATCAACATCATCGAACCAGCATCATCAACATCTCCGTCGACTTCGCCATCGTCACCAACATCACTACCATCGTCGTCAGCATCGTCGAAACCCAGCATCAGCATAAACATCATCATCAACATCATGATCATGCACATCACCGTGACCATCACAACCACCATCATCCTCATCCTCATCCTCACCCTCCCCCAAACCATCACCACCACAATCATAAACATCACCATCACCATCTCCATCACCTTCATCATCATCATCATCATCAGCATCATCATCATCATATCATCATCATCATCATCATCGTCGGCATCGTCATCATCATCGCCATCATCACAATCAACATCACCATCATCATCATCATGATCAGAGTCATCATCATCGTCATCATGATCATCGTCATCATCATCGCCATCATCATGATCATCACCATCCCCATCAGCGTCAACATCACCATCATCATCATCCTCATCATCAAAATCATCATCCCCATCACAATCATCACCATCACCATCACAATAATCACCAACATCATCAACAACATCACCTTCATCATCATCGCCATCGCAACCACCATCAGCATCGTAGACAATATCAGCATCCTGATCACCATCACCATCACCATAATCACCATCACCATCACAATCATCATCAGCATCATCATCACCATCAACATAATCATCGTCATCATCAACATCATCGGATCAACATAATCATCAACATCCCCGTCAACCTCACCATCATCATCACCACCACCATCATCGTCGTCAACATCATCATGCTGATGATCATCATCATCAAATACAGACCCTGTTCGCCGGAAATCCTGTTCGCCGGTTCCTGTTCGCCGGAAGTCCTGTTCGCCGGGTCCACGTTCGCCGGGGTTCTGTTCGCCGGAAACCCTGTTCGCCGGTTCCTGTTCGCCGGTTCCTGTTCGCCGGTTCCTGTTCGCCGGTTCCTGTTCGCCGGTTCCCGTTCGCCGGTTCCTGTTCGCCGGAAGTCTTATTCGCCGGTTCCCGTTCGCCGGTTCCCCTTCGCTGGATCCCGGTCGCCGGTAGCCGGGCCCCCGTTTGCCGAGCAGGAGGAGCAGCAGGAGGAGCAGCAGGGACTCGTAGGAGGAGGAGGAGGAGGAGGAGGAGGAGGAGGAGGAGGAGGAGGAGGAGGAGGAGGAGCTGCAGCAGGAGGGGCGGGATCAGCATCAGGAAGGGCAACAGCAGCAGGAGGGGCAGCAGCATCAGGAGCAGCAGCAGGAGGGGCAGGAGCCGGAGGAGCCGGAGGAGCAGGAGCAGCACGTGAAGCAGAAAGGGACATGTCACGGCGAAGTGCGGCGGTGGCGCCGCCGAGCTGGCCACTGGCCCCTCTTCGTAATGGGGGGCATAGCACCCGCGGGTGCAGGCGCCCCTGCGGCGACACCAGTGCTTGTCGAGCCACATCAGGACCCCCCCAAACCCAAAAATATGTCAAGGTCTGGGTGCATATAATGACTAAGTGGCTGGGGGGCGCCACAGCAGGCCACTGACCCCTCCTGCTTATGGGGGGGCAGAGCACCCGCTTGCGCAGGCGCCCTTGCGGCGACACCTGTGCTTGTCGAGCCACATCAGACCCCAAAACACAAAAATGGCTCAAGGTTAGGGGGCATACAACGACTAAGTGGCTGGGGGGCGCCACGCAGCAGGCCACTGCTCCCTCTTGCTCATGGGGGGCATAGCGCCAGCTGGTGCAGACGCCCCTGCTGCGACACCTGTGCTGGCCGAGCAACATCGGACCCCCCAAACACAAAAATGGTTCAAGGTTAGGGGGCATAGAACGACGAAGTGGTTGGGGGGGCGCCACGCAGCTGGCCACTGCCCCCTCTCGCTTATGGGGGGCATAGCACCCGCTGGCGCAGGCGCCCCCGCGGCCACACCTGCACTGCCCGAGCCACATCTATCCCCCAAAACACAAAAATGGTTCAAGGTTAGGGGACATATAACGACTAAGTGGTTTGGGGGGTGCCACGCATCTGGCCGATGTCCCCTCTTGCTTGTGGGGAGGCATAGCACCCGCTGGAGCAGAGGACCCTGCGGCGACACCTGTGCCGGCCGAGCCACATCATATCCCGAAAACACAAAAATCTTTCAAGATCGAAGGGCATGTTACGACTAAGTGGGCGGGCGGCGGCACGCAGCTGGCCACGGGCATCGTTTTCGTGGGAGGGCCATGGAACGCGCAGACGCCATTGTCCCTGCGGTCGCCCAGAGAAGGAAACGGAGCGCGACGAAGAGGCGCCGCCCCCTGCGCGGCCATGAACGACCACGCACCGCGGCAGGGTGGTTAGGTACAGCGGCGGGCGCTGAATGCGTCGTCGGCAGGCGAGGGCCACGGGAAAGCCAGAACATCCCCACCAGGTCCACTGTGGAGCCGGCGGAGCTTGGAGGGCGCGCGAGGGATGCAGCCCTAATGCGGCCTCCGCTGGGGCCGGATCGGGCCGCCTCAGTCGTCCCCCATGCGCAGCTTAGCCATGTTTGTGAGGAGGGCCATGCCGTCGCCGTCGCGCAAGAACTTCTCGACCAAATTGAACTGCCTGTCGTTGCGAATCCTGGTCGTGTCGCGCTCCTTCTTCTCGCCGCCCATGATGACATCGGTAATGTCCCGATTCGTGAGCCTCTGCTGCTTGTGCAGGCTCTCTATGAACGTCGGGAAGGAAGGGTGCGCGCCCTTGTGAAGCTGCGTCGCATGGTGCCGGTGGAACAACTCCGCGGCGCTCGTGGTGAGAAACTTTTTCGCCAGCGCCCGGTCGTGGACGTTCCACAGGTCAACTGGGAACGTAGGCGCCTTGCGCGTCCTGGCCCTGGCGTGCTTCTCCCCCACCCAAGTCTTTTCGAAGTACGTCAGGAGCGGAAGCGCGGGGTTTTCGAACTCGTCAGCCAGCTTCTCGAACCAACTGGCGATGTCGACGACGGGGATGAACGCCAAGGCGCATAACTTCCCCACCCGCAAGCGGAACTCAGGGTTGGCGCCGTGCCGCTGACCGAGGTCCAAGTCGACCACGTGCTTGTGGACCGCGGCGCGAAAGTGGAAGAAGCACCCGCCCAGGTTCACTGCCAAGAATACCGCGGAGGCTGCCTGACCCGCGAACAGCAAAGCACAAGAGAAACAATAACAAACGTTCAAGATTAGGGGGCGGATCGCGGCGAGTGGGGGCGGGCCGCCACCCACGGGGAGTGCCCCCTTTACGTGTGAGGCCGCAAGCGCCCGGTAGCACTTTCGCCACTCCGGCCGCAACCGGGCCCACCGAGGGGATGGACAATGGAAAAACGCAAACATAATTTGGCATTAGGGGGCATAGAGCGACGATGTGGCGGGGCGGCACCCCCGAGCTGCGCAGTGCCCCCTCTGGGGGCCCAGCGCCCGCTGGTGCAAGCGCCCCTGCAGTGACGCCAGTGCTGGTCGAGCCACATCAAACCCCCAGAACGCAAACATTTTTCAATGTTAGGGGGCATCTAATGACTAAGTGGTTGGGAGGAAACGCAGCTGGGCCCTGGCCCCTCCTGCGCATGGGGGGCGTAACACGCGGTGGCGCAGGTGCCCCTGCGGCGACGCCAGAATTGATCAAGCCACATCTGACACCCCAAACACAAAAATGGTTCAAGGTTAGGGGACATATAACGACTAAGTGGTTGGGGGGCGCCACGCAGCTGGCCGCTGCCCCCTCGCGTTTATGGGGGGCATAGCACCCGCTTGCGCAGGCGCCCCTGCGGCGACACCTGTGCTTGTCGAGCCACATCAGACCCCCAAACACAAAAATGGTTCAAGGTTAGGGGGCATACAACGGCTAAGTGGCTGGGGGGCGCCACGCAGCAGGCCGCTGCTCCCTCTTGCTCATGGGGGGCATAGCGCCAGCTGGCGCAGACGCCCCTGCTGCGACACCTGCGCTGGCCGAGCAACATCGGACCCCCAAAAACACAAAAATGGTTCAAGGTTAGGGGGCATATAACGACGAAGTGGTTGGGGGGGGCGCCGCGCAGCTGGCCACTGCCCCCTCTCGCTTACGGGGGGCATGGCACCCGCTGGCGCAGGCGCCCCTGCGGCGACACCTGCACTGCCCGAGCCACATCTATCCCCCAAAACACAAAAATGGTTCAAGGTTAGGGGACATATAACGACTAAGTGGTTTGGGGAGGTGCCGCGCATCTGGCCGATGCCCCCTCTTGCTTGCGGGGAGGCATAGCACCCGCTGGAGCAGAGGACCCTGCGGCGACACCTGTGCCGGCCGAACCGCATCATATCCCGAAAACACAAAAATCTTTCAAGATCGAGAGGCATGTTACGACTAAGTGGACGGGCGGCGGCACGCAGCTGGCCACTGCCCCCACTTGCTTATGGGGGAGCATAGCGCCCGCTGGTGCAGACGAGCAGGTTTCTCGGAGGCTGCCTGGTACGCGGCCTTTTCGTAGTCGAGCAAGAGCGTTGGCTCTGGCTCGTCCGGGTGGAAGCGCTGGGAGAGTACCTCCCACGCCCGCTTGCACGTGGGCTGCTTCTTGTCCCCCAAGAGAAAGTAGCAGCAGGGGATGACGTAGCCTTTCTGGAAGCCGCGCGCAGTGTACACCTGCAGAAACGGCTTGGGCGCCACTTTGAAGGTGCCGTCGGAGAGCCAAATGTCCGACATGGCCAAGAAGTCCAAGTTCTTCTGGCAGGCCCACGTCTGGATGCGTTTGTCCCCCGCGCCGGGGCTGTCGTCGTGCATGAGGAAGTCCTCGCCGTCGACCTGCTTGAGACTCTCGACCACGGTCAACGTCGCGAGGGAGGAGTAGTCGACGTCCTCAGGGGCTGGCGCCCCATTCTTGAGCCGCTTCTGCTGCTCCGACGCCCGCGCCCTCCAGCACGCGCGCTTGAGGTTCTGTGTGGACGGAACGGCTGGCAGGGCCCCGTCCTCGACTCCCGTTAGAGCCGCGGAAGCCACGTTTGCCGCCGTTGTGTCTGGCTGCTGGGCAGCAGCGGCCCTGGCCTTAGAGAGGACCTGCTCTTTGACGCCCTTCTCTGGGTTGGGCAAGTGCGTGTGGGCGCCGATCTGCTCGACGACCGTCCGGAGGCCTTCGAAGCGGGCTTGGCTTGAGCGCCGCAGACCTCCCTCCCCTTCTCGCAACACCACGACCGGTCTCCGTTCTTTGCGGTGTAGCGCAACGTGTAAAGGTAGCCCTGGTGAAAGAGTTTGTCGCCCCCGCGCTTGGAGGGGACCAGCTGGAAAGCTGGCTCGGCGGGAGCAGGCTGCCCGGCCAGCGCCGGCGCGGGCGGCGCGGGCGCAGCGGCCGACGCAACGACCTGGGCTGGCTGTGCCTTCGGAGCCATGAGGCCTGCACGTACACAAACGTACCGCGAAGCTGGGCGAGGGAACCAGTCTGTCGCGAACGACGCCGTTGAAAAGGCGCTCGGCCGAATAATGGCTGCGATGGTGAAGATGATGATGATGATGATGATGATGATGATGATGATGATGATGATCATGATGATGAGGACATTAGAGTATGATGCATCAGCGAATTGGCACGCGTGTACCCTAACGGGCGGGTCGGGTCGGGCGGCCGGACCCTGACGGGCAAGTAGGATCCGGCGGGTCGGGTCGGGCGGGCGGGGCATGGTGCGTGCACACTTGCCACGCGTGAACCCAAACGGGCGGGTCGGGTCGGGTCGGGCGGGCGGACCCTAACGGGCGGGTCGGGCCAGGTCGGGCGGACCCTAACGGGCGGGTCGGGTCGGGAGGGCGGGACATTCAAGTATGGTGCGCGTACACTTGACACGCGCGAACCCTAACGGGCGGGTCGGGTCGGGCGGGCGGACCCTACGGGCGGGTCGTCGGGTCGGGCAGGCCCTAACGGGCGGGTCGGGTCGGGCGGGCGGGACATTAAAGTATGGTGCGTGTACACTTGACACGCGTGAACCCTAACGGGCGGGTCGGGCGGGTCGGGGGCGGACCCTAACGGGCGGGTCGGGTCGGGACGGGCGGGACATTCAAGTAGGGTGCGTGTACACTTGACACGCGCGAACCCTAACGGGCGGGTCGGGTCGGGTCGGGCGGACCCTAAGGGCGGGTCGGGTCGGGCGGGCGGGACATTAAAGTATGGTGCGTGTACACTTGACACGCGTGAACCCTAACGGGCGGGTCGGGTCGGGTCGGGCGGACCCTAACGGGCGGGTCGGGTCGGGTCGGGCGGACCCTAACGAGCGGGTCGGATCCGGCGGGCGGGACATTAAAGTATGGGCGTCGCACTTGCACGCGTGAACCCTAACAGGCGGTCGGGTCAGGCGGGGGGCGGGCCCTAAACGGGCGGGTCGAGGCCGGGCGGGCGGAACCCTAGCGGGCGGGTGGGATCCGGGCAGGGACCGGGACCATTAAAAGTATGGTGTGCGTGTACACTTAACACACGTGAGCCCTAACGGCGGGTCGGTCGGGTCGGGCGGGCGGACTTACGGGAGGGTCGGGTCGTGTTCGGGGGGACCCTAACGGGCGGTTCGGGTCGGGCGGGCGGGACATTAAAGTACGGCGCGTGCTACCCTTGACACGCGTGAAACCCTAACGGGCGGTGGGTCGGCTCGGGCGGACCCTAAGGGCGGGTCGGGCTGGGTCGGGCGGACCCTAACGGGCGAGTCGGGTCGGGCGGGCGGGACATTAAAGTATGGTGCGTTTACATCTGACACGCGTGAACCCTAGCGGGCGGGTCGGGTCGGGCGGGCGGACCCTAGCGGGCGGGTCGGGCCGGGTCGGGCAGACCCTAACGCGCGGGTCGGGTCGGGCGGGCGGGACATTAAAGTATGGGGCGTGTTACAGGAGTCGGGCGTTGAAACCTAACGGGCGGGTCGGGTCGTAGGCGGACCTAACGGGCGGGTCGGGTCGGGCGGGCGGGGCATTAAAGTATGGTGCGCGTGCACTTGACACGCGCGAACCCTAACGGGCGGGTCGGGTCGGGCGGGTCGGGCGGGCGGACCCTAACGGGCTAGTCGGGTCGGGTCGGGCGGGCCCTAACGGGCGGGTCGGGTCGCGCGGGCGGGGCATTGCAGTATGGTGCGTGTACACTTGACACGCGTGAACCCTAACGGGCGGGTCGGGTCGGGTCGGGCGGGCGGACCCTAACGGGGGGTTGGGGTCGGGCGGGCGGGACATTAAAGTATGGTGCGCGTACAATTGACACGCGTGAACCCTAACGGGCGGGGGGTCGGGTCGGGCGGGCGGACCCTAACAGCGGGCGGGTCGGGCCGGTCGGGTCGGGCCCTAACAGGCGGGTCGGGTCGGGCGGGCGGGGCATTACAGTATGGTGCGTGTACACTAGACACGCGTGAGCCCTAACGGGCGGGTCGGGTCGGGTCGGTCGGGCGGACCCTAACGGGCGGGTCGGGTCGGGTCGGGCGGACCCTAACGGGCGGGTCGGGTCGGGCGGGCGGGGCATTAAAGTGCGGCGCGCGTGCGCTTGACACGCGTGGCCCCTAACAGGGGGTCCGGTCGGGTCGGGCGGGCGGACCCTGACGGGCGGGTCGGGCCGGGCCGGGCGGACCCTAACGGGCGGGTCGGGCCGGGCGGGCGGGACATTAAAGTATGGTGCGTGTACACTTGACACGCGTGAACCCTAACGGGCGGGTCGGGTCGCGGTCGGGTCGGGCGGGCGGACCCTAACGAGCGGGTCGGGTCGGGTCGGGGGACATTAACGAGCGGGTCGGGTCGGGCGGGCGGGACATTAAAGTATGATGCATCATCGAGTTGGCACGCGTGTACCCTAACGGGCGGGTCGGGTCGGGCGGGCGGGACATTAAAGTATGATGCATCATCGAGTTGGCACGCGTGTTCCCTAACGGGCGGGTCGGGCGTGCGGGCGACAAAGACGACCACAACGTCGACGAGGTCGGCAACGACGACGACCACGACGACAACGATGACTAGAGCGACGTCTGCGACGACGACCGTAACGGAACAGTCGGGCGGGCAGATGCCAACAAGCCAGTGGGGCGGGCGGACCCTAACTGGCGGGTGGGGCGGGGGGACCTTAACGGGCAGGCGTTCCCCACCTCCACGCCCACTCATCCTTCTACTTTTCCTCCTCCTCCTTCTCCTCCTCCTCCTCCTCCTCCTGTCCATCCTCCTTCCCAGCGCAGGTCTGTCGAGCCGGGTCTGTCGAGCCGGGTCTGGCACACCGCATCCGGCAAACCGGGTCAGGCAAACCTCACCTCCGCGCCCACTCATCCTTCTACTACTCCTCCTTCTCCTCCTCCTGCTCCTCCTGTCCATCCTCCTTCCTGGCGCAGGTCTGTCGAGCCGGGTCTGTCGAGCCGGGTCTGGCACACCGCATCCGGCAAACCGGGTCTGTCGAACCGGGTCTGTCGAACCGGGTCTGTCGAACCGGGTCTGTCGAACCGGGTCTGTCGAACCGGGTCTGTCGAACCGGGTCTGTCGAACCGGGTCTGTCGAACCGGTCTCTGGCGAACCGGTCCTTGGCGAACCGGTCCTCTGGCGAACCGGTCCTCTGGCGAACAGATCCTCTGGCGAACCGGTCCTTGGTGAACAGATCCTCTGACGAACCGGCCCTCTGCCATGATGATCATCATCATCATCGTCAGCATCATCATCGTTATCATCATCATCGTCATCGTCATCCTCATCAGCATCATCGTCAACATCATCATCATCATCGTCATCATCATCGTTGTCATCATCATCACCATCATTATCATCATCACCGTGAACATCACCATCATCATCATCATCATCATCATCATCATCATCATCATCATCCTCATCCTCATCCTCATCCTCATCATCAGCAGCAGCATCATCATCAACATCATCATCACCATCATCATCATTATCATCATCAGCATCATCGTGCTCATCATCATAATCATCACTATCATTGTAAGTATTCAGAGTATCACTGGTTATCAATATCGCGAGATTTGCAAAAGCCATCAAGCCATCACGGCCCATGAGGCCCCGTCGTGAGTCACCACCGCGCGCCGAAGGCGCTCCGGGCTCCATCGCGGTGCGCCAACCAGGCGAGGTTGACTCCCCCCCAGAGGGGGGGCTATCCCCCCATGCTTGGAATAGAGAAGGCACCCTGCGATCCGACGTCACGAGAAACATGCAACATCGGGAGAGACCACCACCGGAGCCCTAGACTCCGTCTGTCTGCTGCTTTTTTCAGATCGGATCGATCTGCGATGGTCCTCGGGCCCGAGACCGGGCGCAAACGTCCGATGTGCAAAAAATCGCCAAGCCCGGATTTCAGGGGATACCACGGCAGCTCTGTCGAATCTCGCGCAGACTGCGCCCGTGCTTGGCTGCCCCGATGTGCGACACGCAGCCCGTCGCGCGTTGACACGGACCTCAACACGCAGCCTGTAAACGCAGGTCTGGCGCGA